GAATGCACATAAATGGAATGATATAAAGCTGGAGGATATGGATTCTATTTTAGATTGTGATAGACCAGATATATTTTATAATGTAGACAGTCTTGTGCATCCTGAAATAATTAAACATTGTAGAATACACAATATGTGAAATTTGGTCCAATTCGCTTGTGCCATTTTGTATATTACTACTTAGAAAAACATAAAAATAAAACATAATTCAATCAGTAATCAATAAAATGGCTTATGGCACAGAGTAATATAGGATTGTGGGGTTAATGTGTTTTATAAAGCCTGTTTTTGCAAAGGAAACTCACAATGACACATTTAGATGCAGAAATAGACAATTTGACTCGCTTCACATATAATGTAATAACTCCTGTTTAGAAGCTGTTATTTGAAAGATTCTTTTTTTCTGGTACTTTTTGGCATCCAGTGGCATCAAACAAAGTAAATTGCAGAGAGCTGGACCTAATAGAACCTGAATTACAGAATTTCAAAAAAATAATTTATTTTAAAACTCCAAAAGCGCCTATGTTTTTTTGTGTTTATTGTAATATTTGAAAAATATATAATGTTATTTATAAAGAATTACACTCATATTTTGTAGTTCAAAGGGTTTTCTTTACAATGAAACCTTTTTTTTTTTCATTTCCTCCATTTTATGTGTGTAGGGTAAACATTTGAATTTGAGTATGTCAAATTTAGGCGAAAATACCAAAAAACGCCCTGAGCTTAGTGTTGTTCTATTCATTAAGTTGACTGAATAAACTAATGCTGTGATAAAACACCCTTTAGCTTGTGTTTGTATGTGTCAGTGTGAATCTGTGCCTGTAGTGGGATCTCCATCAGTCAGCAGGATCAGGATGGAGGCTGTTCCCTCTCGTGGATGTCGACTGATCATGTCCACTCCTGCTAGAACTGCAGCGTTTATGTCTGTGGCTGAAGGAAGACCAAACATAGTTGTGTCACTGTGAGGTTCAACTTTCTTACTCCTTATGTAGCATTAGTGCTGTAACTCACCTCCTCTATCGCTGATCTCCTTCACGAAAGATCTCGCATTCTCCAGGTTTGTCTCAGTAGCTTTGAGGAGTTCACGTTTCCATAAGCTAACTTCACTGTCAAATGTGATCAATCCAAAGTTGTCGTCCTCATCAAGATCACTCAAAATCCTTAGCAGTGCCAAACGAGTCTAAAGAAAAACACTCCTGTCAGCAGATCTGGAAGTTATTCTTTCTCCATTACGACTGCATACTACCAGACATGGACAGTTTTGTTACTAACTTTAACAAAACAACACCAAACTAACTTCAATACCGAAAACCCTGTTGTTGTTGTTTTTTTGTTATTTTTTTAGCATGGAAATGCTGAATGCTGCAAGATACCCCAAGGATGTTTCCATCAAAACATTTCATAGCTCATTATAAGCTTTTGATTTGGCTGAAATATTGAGATTAACCTGGTCTATTTTTCTGCCGTGCATAGAGCCACTCCGGTCAATGATAAACACCACATTTTTGGGAATACGTGGAACATCAGAGGGTGCAAAGTAGTGGACAAAATAGCCATTTGATACCTGAGAGAACAGAGAAGTACATATGAATATCACCGATGCCTTTTTACATGGCCAAGGTCATGATTTTTGCCAAAATCGTAACATATTTTACTCTTTTAAAGCATGTTATTGAAAATGTACCATGACTTCTCCTTTGGGATTTCGTCTCTCAACATCGTATGTTACAAGCAGGTCTCCATTCAACCCATTTTCTCCACAGCTTTTACACTTGGTCTGTTGATCTCGTGTGGGGTAGAAGGTCACCCATGCCTGAAATAATCAGTTTGGTCGGTCATCTGGTATCTTTATTTGAAGTGTATGAGCATATTGAGAGCATCTAAACTGTGTTTTAACCCTCATTTAAGCTCTTACGTCTTTGTCTGCTCTGGTGGTTTTGATGGCATTGGCCAGATCACCGGTGCTCAAATCTCCTTTCACCTCCAAGAAGGAAATTCCTGTTTTCTCTTGGATGTGCACATCCATCTGATGCAAGTAAAATAAACATTATCTCTCTTTCCATCTAAATTGATTATCCATCTCCTCCTTGTATCTTCTTCTACCTTGAAGTCAGCCACCGGCTGCATCGGTTGGGCATTGATGAGTAGCTCATATTTGCCGAGGCGGCGCTTTAGCAGTTCCTCGTAGGTCAACTCAAAGGTCACTTTACTAAAAGCAGCTACCGTCACTGAAGTTTTAAAGTCCTCTAAAGTCCTTCCAACAGATCTGAAATAGAAAAAATATCCCTGCATATTACTAAACATGCTATATATACATAGTTTTATGGACCTAATTTAAATAAATTCCAGTACTTGACCAATCCAGCACTTTGTCCTCGAGATACTGCTTGATTGTATTGCTGCTGAGCTGCTTCTTTTTCCTTCACAACCCCATCATATGTTTTTCCCTCTGTGGTCCTATGGAGAAAATGACACAATGACATTCTCTTAACATACCAGAAACTTACATTGTGTATCTCAGACATACAAAGATAATTTGAATAAAAGAATTATGAATTATGTTCATAATATAAAAAAATGATGTTTGTTTGTATTAAAGCATTTGTACTGTTAGCTACTACTTCTTGTACTTAAAAAGTTCAAACAGGTTATTTATCCTTGGAAGAAGATAGAATTTATAAAAAAAACAACAAAAAAATTTTCTTGTTCGGCTGCACCAGATGGACCTGATCTGACAGCCAAATACTATAAATGGCTTCTTTACCTCTTTATTTCTACTTATATAACACTACTCTTGTTCACCCACATTCTGAATTTGCTGATGAAGGCATTCTTGGGAATCTTGACCTCAAACTGGATCTCTTGAGATTCATTCAGTATGTTCGCAACACGGCTTGTGATGACTGTTGTAGCGTAGCGACTGGTGACCGTGGAGTTAATGTAGAAGCTGTATATATCCACATTTTGTTTCTGTTGAGACATCAGCAGTACACAAAAATAGAAGTATACTCATATTTTATAATAGAAAGTGATTGGCTGGTGCACATTCACTCCTCCTTTCCGCATTGGATTGCTCAAATGTTTACTGCTCGGAAATGGCAAGGAAAAAAGGCCTTTGGACTAAAAGACAAATATGTTTTGATGACGGCATCTCAGTGTACACAACTGAGCAACAGAAAGTTAGATAGATAGTTCTATCAATTCAAATTATATTTTTTTCTGTCAACAATAGTATTATAACATAATCAAAATGAAAATACTGTTGAATATATCAACATAGAAACCAAGCAGTTGAAAACGGTTAGTTTTGTTCATTGCGTTGTGGTTTTATACAGAAAAAACTAAGACAGATAGATTATATGAAAAGCTAAATCATATTAAATCAAAATACACTACTGTTCAAATGTCTGGGATTTAAAAAAAATGTTTTTTTTAAAGACATCTATGCTCACCAAGGCTGCATTCATTTAATCATAAATATAATAAAACAGTCATTTTATATTTAATGTTATTTTGTGAAATATTATTGTCATTTAAAATAACAATTTACATTTATAAATGTAATTCATTCCTGTAATGTCAGCTTACTCCAGTCTTCAGAGTCACATGATCCTTCAGAAATCTGATAATATGCTGATTTGCCGTTCAAGAAACATTATTTCTTAATTAATGTCGAAAACAGTTGTGTTGCTTAATATTTTTGTGGAAACGTGATACATTTTTTCAGGATTCTTTGAGGAATAGAAATATTTTATAACATTAGAATAGTCTTTATGGTCACTTTTGATCAGTTTGATTAATAAAAGTATAATTTTTGTTTTTTATCTTACCGAGCTCAAACTTTTGAACGGTAGTGTATATTCAACATGTATAAGTAGATATACATAATTTGTCTGAACCTTCATCTCATGTACAGATAGGCCTATTTAATCTGTTTTTGTACCCTGATTTGACTCAGTCTTCTTCATCTTGAACTAAAATTTGACCCTCACCTTCTTCACAGGATCAGAAGTGGCTGAGATGAGAAAGACGCCCAAGAGAATCAGCTGGAGAGCTGCTCGATCCATCATGACCTGCACAGGAAACTGACCTCCAAATGCACACTGCCTTTAAACTCAAGTCCACATCATGCTATTGGCTATTATTGAACGGATACAGAAACCTCCCCCTTTATTTGCAATCAGAGTCTCTTGAACCCCACATAAGTCAATAACAAGGCATGCTTTTATAGAAAATATATTATCTAATTTGTAAATGCATTCTGTAGAAACTTGGTGTTAAGCTTTTACTTTTATTATCAGGCAGGACCACAAAAAAGCATATTTTCCAGGAATAAGCACCAATCGAAGGGTTACTATGTATACATAAAATGTTTGGTGTGAAATTTTAATTGCTATTTTATACTGCAACAAGTGGTGAGCAAATCTTGCACTCTAAAACAGAACATTATACACAGATGGAAATCACTTTAAATGAATATTTGGGTTGACTATTGATGTGAAATTATTGTACATGGTTATCAATGCATGCAAAAGATGTGGTACACTGGAAATAACATTGTCATGCCCCTACTATTTGCCAATAGATGACCGTTTTATAGCTCATAAACAATGTCCATTTAAAGAATATGTTATATTATTAAAAAAGTCAGCACGATAATGGACAATAAAAATGATTTTTGCTGAACTCTACAGCTGAGTGACAGTGAAGTCAGCGAGCTCTCGCTGCGCAACAGCCTGGAATGGTACAAGCCAACATCCAACCACAGGAGCAGTAGCAAGTCTGTAGTCCTTCACCATCACCCTGAAATAACAATATACACTTACTTAAAAATATATAATAACATCATATGCCAAAATGCAGTTTTATGGAAGTTCAGCTAAATGTACACTACTGGTCAAAAGTTTGTAATAATTAAGATTTGAAAAATTCAGCACCAAATTAGCATATGATTTCAGAAAGATCGTGTGACACTGAAGACTGGAGTAATGGCTGCTGAAAATTCAGCTTTGCATCACAGGAATAAATGACATTTGAAAATATATGAAGAGAGAAAACAGTCATTGTAACAAGAATTCACAATATTACTGTTTTACTGTATTTTTGTTCAAATAAATGCAGCCTTGCCAACCCTAAATGTTTGAACAGTAGTGTATAAAATATTTTTATTTAATATGATTTACCTTTATTTAAATTAAATGTAATATCATTTGTCATATAATCTCTCTGTCTTAAGTTTTCCCTAAATTAATCAAACATTTTTTTAATGTAATTTTTACAAATTTTGACTGGTAGTGTACATTTATTGATCACTTACCAAGATGTCTTCACTTCATGGTCCTTTAACTTTAAAGTTGTGGTTTGTGATCCTGGGATCTCCTCATATGAAATATCAGCCTCTCCTTAAAATATTACCAACAGACATTGTAATTTTTTGTGAGTTTTGGATTAATAACCACAATATCATCACCGACAGACCATCTTTGTTATCAGTTGAGATTTAGTGTTGATACACAACGTATGATTGATTTTGCAATACTCTTACCTAAAATACCCGACAACTTGACATCTTTTGGCTGTTGATACATGCTTAAATGTTTAAAAGTGAAGCACTCTAACCTAAAATGCCTGTCAACTTGACATCTTTTGGCTGTTGCTGAACAGCAGGCCACAGAAACACGTCCCCGTTTTCCTTGTGAAGCAGAATAATGACACAGATATTTCCCATGGTGATGTCTATTTCATTACTCCGTAGAATCAGAGACACGCTGTTGAAACAGAGAAGCTGATGAGTAAATTCTAGCTCTCAGATTAACATACTGTACATAAATTTAGTGAAACATATAGTTTGAGTAGTATTTACTCCTCTGTATTGTGTTGGGTCGGTTCCTGGTCCCACAGAAACTCAACATGATTCTGGCCGTCGTGGTATCTGATAGATTTTGTGCTTATTGTCAGATGATGGTTTGTTTTGTAATGAAATGCAATTTTACGACATCCATTTTGTCCAGTCATGGATTCTCCATTCATAGAGAACTCTAGGACACACAGTACAAAACATTTAATTCCAGAAAAAGGCGACTTTCAAAAGGATGTGCATGTAGTAAATGTGTAATAGTAACCTGAAGCTGAATCCTGTAGGAGTCGGAGTTTGTAAGGAACAGGAACGTCAAAACAAAGCGGCTTAGACTGACCAACAACAGGCAGCAGGAAACGACTGCTATGAGCTGGTGGAGCTAAGACAAAACATAACCAAATGCAGCATCATAATTATTCTATAGAAATTGTATAATAATTAAGTTTGAGAGCACTTTATGTACCTGACATTGTAGAAAGTACAGTTACTCTCCCTGTAACGATGGGCATTTGTTCTAAAAAAATAGGTTTAGTCACTAAAAAGCCAAATACAGGCTATTAATAATAAAGCTTTTCATGCTAAGTCATTTTTTTTGTACTGTATAATTTGTAATTGTATAATAATTAAGTTTGAGAGCACTTTATGTACCTGACATAGTAGAGAGAACAGTTACACTCCCCAGAAACATGGGCTTTTGATTTAAGACCAAAAGAAGGTGTAACTGATCAAATTAGAACTAATGTGTATTTTGTATGCATTTACCTGACACAAGGCAGAATCAAAGTTACAGCATTTTCATACATACCAGCGAGCAATATGCCGCTAAACTTGAAATCTAAAAAAAGGGTTTAGTCATTAATAAGTCAAAGACAGGCTACTTATGCAGTAATTACATTTTTCATGCTAAGTTTATCAATAAGTCACAGCACTCATAATGTAATAATAAAATCAATAAATTATGAAAAAGTTGTAGCAATGCATTTTTTAAATAATTAAATAGAGAAATTATTAAATTATTTAGTAATTCAATTGCGGTAAAAACTCAAAAACACAACAGTTATTCATAAAATATTTCATAACAATTACTATCACAAAACTAGAGCTACATTTAAATTAAATTTTAAAATATTAAACATTTATTTTCATGATTCAAATGTATTTTCAAATGTTTCATATCAGAAGGCTTCATTTCAGAATCACACCTAATGCCTTATTTTATTTATTTTCACACCATTATATGAGTCTTTATCACTGAAAATCAAAGAGCAGTTGATTTATTTTAGCTAAAATTGAATTATTATTATTATTATTATTATTGTTGTTGTTGTTATAAAAGGTTTTTGGACACAAAATGTTGGAACATTGTCACACATACCCTCAGCTACTGGATAGAAAGCTGGGAATGAAGAAGGTTTAGTGATTAAAAAGACAATAAAAGACGTTCATTTCTTATCAAGTACAACAATTTACATTAACTTAAAGCAGCACTATGTAACTTTTTCTGTGTTCAAAATTTGCTAAATGTATTTAATGAGCGAGTACACCATGAATTTATCTTCCAAACCGCGTTTTTGTCTTATTCTGAATCACTACGGTAAATTGGGCCACTTTTTGGTTAATCGCTTGGGACACTAACAAAAAACCCATGTATGACATTTAACTGTGTTCTTATGATTAATAAGGACTGTTTTTAATATTTTTGTGTTGAATCGATGTATTAAAATATAATTGCTCAGGCCCTACAGGTTTTGAAACATTAGCTGCCCCACATTTTTTGAGATAGCAGTGTTCAGGTAAAATGGGCCGGCTGATCAGCAAAAATGGGCCAGGCAAACTGCAAAGTGCAATAGAGACATTTCTGATAAAACACATTTAATTATATTTAATTTTATAATGTAACAGTGTAACATTGTTATTAAATTACATTAGAACATAAATTTCAATCAATTTCATCAATAAAACAAATGTCATTAAAAAAAGTAACAATAACTATAACAAGTAGTGTTATGACAACAGTTTAAAAGTTAACAGCCAAAGAATTTCAAAGAGAAGAGGTAAGACACTCAAACCTTTCAATCAATTTCATCAATAAAACATACATTTAATAAAAAAAAATGTAACAGTAACCTGAACAACTAGTGTGTGTGTGTGTGTGTGTGTGTGTGTGAGCGCGCGATTTGAAAGTTTTTCAAAAACAGTCTTGATAGATAAAGCCGTCATCATCAAAAATGCCATTCTCTTCACCACATACTCTTCAACACACATACACATGCCTCACTAACATGCACACACAAACATAGTCAAGCACACATAAACACACATCACATACAAACACATTTAGAAGGTAAAATGTGAAAAAGGTATGTCACAAATTCAATACAATATATCAATAATATAAATAATTTTTAATAAGAGAAACCAGCAGAATTTCTGCTTAAACTCATCTCAGAAGGTGGCCCATTTTAACTGAAATTAATGGCTCATTTTATCTTAACACATTCAGGTAAATTGGGCCAGTAACTAAAAATGCTTTTTTTTATATAAAAATCTGGATTATTTAGCAAAATCGGCATTTTATCTCACAGAGGCCATCAAGACATTGGTTATGAATCATTATTTTTAATTGTGCATTTGTTTTTTATTTATTTATCAACCTTATTATTGAGAAGTAAGATTGGATATGTCAGGCCACTCAGCTTGCTTTTTTCTTGTGCGGTCTCAAAATGAGGCATTGCCCCTCACCCCTGAGCAACCTCAGACCAATAAAATAATTTGCTAAATATCAAGTACTGTTATGGCATCAGTTTGAAATTCTTTACAGTCATTGGCTGTTAACTTTTAAAGAGATAAGACACTCAAACCTTAAATGGCCCATTTTACCTGATGGCCCAATTTGCTTGATATCACCCTAATAAGTACTTATATTTGGACTATTGTAGCCTGGTCGGGTCGTCACCGCTGCGGAGTAAGTAACACATGCCTGCGTGAATCGCCATAGACATAAACTTAGAGAAGTAGCTCCAGTTGGAATGTTCTTCCGCGGGATGTGTGCAGTTCTGTTTATTAACCGCTAGAGCGCCAAAAGTTACATAGTGCTGCTTTAATAATTGGACATAAGTAATAATTAGTAATAATAAGTAATAATTAAACATTAAATAATTAGACAAGACATACATGATATGTACATGGCAATTGTGTTTATTCATTACAGAATCTGGTTGATAAATGTAGAAGAGAAAAGGAATGAAACCACCTACGGTTAGCCTGAATACGCTCAGTGCGATATTGTCCACCTGAAAACAAAGTGTTTTTTTAATGTTGTAAGCTTGAATCAAAGTTCCCTATCGATACTTCACTCGTACTGTGTCTTGCTTAAGACGCTAAGGGGAAACTCCTTTTTCTCCGAATACTGAAGCCTTTTTCATTCACGCAGTGAAACTGCACGGCCATTGGTTCGTGCAGTGTATATCTGGCTATATAAGCGTGCACTTCGCCATAGGATCCTCAGATTTCTTCTCCGTCAGCGACGACAACAGATCTTCGCACTACGAGACTAGAAGCCTTCGCCGTGAACAAGCCTCACAGCGGATCAAGACCCCTCTCTGCTCGGCTGACTTCGCCGCTCTTCAGCTGCCTTCGGCGTCTGCAGCAGCGTGGTCTCCCGGTCCCCTGCCGCTATTCGGCGACTATAAGAGCAAATTTCTTGCATTGTTTCAAATGCCGCACCGCTACTGTCGCTCGTACCCCGGCCTCTATCTGGCGACTATAAGAGCAAATTTCTAAGAGCAAATTTCCGGTGTTGTTACAAATGCCGCGCCGCTACTGTCACTCGTGCAGGGCTCCCCTGCACGCCACTGACGGTCACGGCCAGTGCGTTTCATGCTTGTTCTCCGCTTGGTGTATGGCCCGCGGTGTAGACCCAATTTCCTGCGACATATCTCTGATATTGTCCTTCCTGCAGGAGCTGTTGGATAAGGGTCGTTCCCCTTCCACGCTCAAGGTCTATGTAGCAGCCTCACATGCTCCTATAGCTGGCCAGTCAGCGGGCAGGAACAACCTAGTTGTTCGTCCCCTGACGCTAAAAACCGCTCTGCTACTGGCGTTAGCATCGGTAAAGCGTATGGGTGATCTGCAGGCGCTCTCAGTGAGTCCTACCTGCCTCGAATTCGGGCCCAACGACTCAAGGGTCATCCTGAAACCGAGGCATGGTTATGTACCTAAAATGCTCTCGACTCCGTTCAGAGCACAGGTCATAGCTCTTTCGGCACTTCCTCCTTCAGAGCAGGACCAAGAGCTAAATCTACTCAGCCCCGTCAGGGCATTGAGGATATACATTGAGTGTTCCGCCCCGTTCAGACGGTCGGATCAGCTTTTTGTATGCTTCGGTGACCACACCAGAGGGTCTCCGGTCACGAAGCAGAGACTTTCCAAATGGATTATTGATGCTATCAAGCTAGCATACTCTTCTTTGGGCCTTCAATGCCCCCTGTGAGTAAGAGCCCACTCGAGAGGCGTTGCCTCTTTCTGGGCTTGGTCTAACGGAGTTTCCATTGCAGAGATTCGTGCGGCGGCCACAGGCATTTGCCTTCTCGGTACGCTCTTGGCCCCCACTGGGTTCCGAGGCTGTACAATTTTTCTGGTAACGATTAATTAGTGCCGGGCCGACCTCTGTGAGTTTGGCCCTGTCGCTTTCTGTGGGGCTTCCCTACAATTACTTGGTCCCTCTGGGCCCTTGGTGCTCAAAGCAAGTTAAAGCATTAGTCGTTCCTCTAACATAGCACGGCGGGATTGTACTTGTTCCCCTTAGCGTCTTTAGCAAGACGCAGTACGAGTGAAGTATCGATAGGGAACGTACTCGGCCATCCAAGCTGGATTGCCATTAAGTTCTAGTTTATAACGAGTTACTGTGTGCATGCATGTGAAAGAAGTGAGTATTGACTATATATATTTCTGTTGTAATTGAGCAATCGTCTGTTTGTTCCGAGTCCATAAGAGTTGTTGATTAATACAGTCAGGATGTTGTTAATCTTTCTATTTAGTGTATATCTTAGTATTCCCATGTTATTGCTGTATGTACGCCCTATTCGGAGATGATTATTATCATGCGATGATCAGCCTTTTGTCACATGCTTGTGTTCGCTGGTGCACGTTGGGCGGCATTCACATGCTGGTGGCGCCCTCTTGTGGACATTCGGAGAATTGGCACCCGAACCTGTTCGGAATACTTCATTATTGTCATTTACTTATGTTCATTTGATTGCTGTTTAATTATTTAAAGTGGATGTTTATATTTGAGTAGCACATGTATGTATATATCAGTTAATTTATTTCTCTTGTTCAATTCTTGCAGAACCACACATGTATACTCCAAGTTCTTCAGTAAACTAAAAGGAACCTAGACATTGCTTGGTGCCTCTTCAATTAAGAGTCGTCTCATTCAGTCCTAACCGACTGCCTGCTGCGTTTCATACCCATCCAAATAGTGCATCTTCCGAACCCCCTACATTTCAAGTGGTCCTTCGAGCCGGATAATGAATCACAGCAGAGAGATGACGTCCAATTCCAAGCCAGATCCTCCTGTTGTCCGCCCTCGGCGACAAATAAGGCCACCTGCACATTTGGCAGATTATCAAATCCCTGGATCAGGCTATGTGAAGAGAGCAGTACCAACTGAACATTTGGATGAAGCCAGAGTAGAGGAAGCTCCACCCACGCCAGAGTATGTATCAAGATCATCATCTCCAAAGAACCAGCCCTCATATGCAGGTGATCTACTACTTCAAGACGACTGGCGATTGACATTTGAGGATACACAATCAGAGGATGATGAGCTTCACCTTCAAGCCCAACAGTTATCCGACATTAAGTCTATGTGGAACGAGTTGAAGAGAGACAGTGATGAGCTACATAGCCACATCCTACCCGAGATCCTGTCTGCACTACAAGGGCTTAAGGCAGAGAAAGCTACATTAAAGCAAGAGATCCAGCAGATCACCACAGGCATAGAGACTCCTCACCGCTCAGTGACCCCAGTGCCAGCCCCTTGTACTAAGGTGCCCCAACCGACACGTAGCCAGCATCCATCAGTTACCCGGAGGGAGCCTGCAGCATGTTCTGGCAATGTTTTCCAGCACAGATCTGTCCAGTGTGAGCAGCTGACAAGGCAGAGGGACTTCACACATTCACCCAGGTTAGAAAAGACATGTGCTAGTGAGAGCCATTGCGTTACCCCACGGAGGTCTTCACAGCCTGCTGAAGCTGTTCATTACTATGACGACAATCCTCCATTCACACACGGGCATTATCCAGATGAGAGGGAGTTCCACCTACCACAGCGACCTGAGATTACACCTAGAGCTGAGATGGTATACATGCAAGAGAAGATTTACCGGGGACCAGCACCTACCATACCCGTCTTAATGTCAGCAGACCCGAGACAGTTTTCGAGACTGCGGATGCCACTAGAGAACCTTCTCCCAGCAGATGCAGCTGAACGCTTCAAATATCAGGTCCTGACTGATCACTTAAAGATAGAAGAAGCACTGTTGGTAGCCGATTCTTACTGTAATTCTGTGAGACCCTACACAGACTCCATGCGAGCTCTGGTAACGATGTATGGTCAACCACACAAGCTTGTTCTGCGGAACATTGCCGAAGTTCTGGAAGGTCCCAACATCAGGTCAGGAGATGTTAAAGCATTCAAGCTATTTGCCCTCCGTGTCCATTCATTAGTGAGTATGCTAGAGCAGGTGGGGTCAGAAGGGGCGGCTGAATTGGAATGTGGTTCGCACGTTTCCAGGCTACAAGGCAAACTTCCACACGAGCTTAGGACCAGTTTCAAGAGGTATGTTCACCCATCAAGAATAACGGTTCCTACTCTTCTTGACTTTACGGATTGGTTGGAGTACGAGCTCCAAGTTCAGGATGATACTGTTAGAACAGTTACTTGCGCTCCTGACTCAACAACCAAGAGGAGAGATGGCCGTTATGACTCCAAGTTCCCAGCAAAACCCACAAGCATCCTGATGGGTACAGAGAAGCCTTTTATAGATGGTGAACCCAGAGTGTCTGCTCCAGAGTCCAGACCTTGCTCCAACAGGTACAGAGGGAAGTCACGTGCCTACTGCCCTTACTGTGACACTGCTAGCCATTTCCTTAATGGATGTCACAACTTTAGAGAGTTGACTAGAGACCAAAAAGAAGCCTGGATTCGCAAGAATAACCGATGTTGGTGGTGTGGCTGCAATCATCACGCATCCAGCTGCACTTTGAAGGCTCTGTGCAAGACTTGCAATAGGAAACACCTCCTAGTATTGCACGACTTGAATGAGTGAGTTGTGAATACCAGCGCTGAGGCTGAACTCAAAGAGAACTCTTGCCTTGTGAGTACCACCAAGGATATCTTCTATGTGGACCGTTCTGTCAGCAGCCGCAGAGTACTCCTGAAAGTAAGTAAGGTAATCATAACAAATGGGGATGCATCAATGGAGATATATGCAGTGCTGGATGACGGGTCTGAAAGGACTATTCTCCTCCATGCCGCAGCTCAGCAGCTGAACCTCAAAGGACAGCCAGAAGACCTGATCCTGCGAACAGTGAAGCAAGATCAGCAGGTACTCCATGGGGCGGCTGTTTCTTTCACAGTGGCTCCCGTGTCCAACTCTCACAAGAAATTCCTCATCAGAGGTGCATTCACAGCTGAGAGACTTGGCCTTGCTGAACATACTTATCCGGTGAAATCTTTACAGAAGAAGTATCGACACCTAGCAGGTCTTCCACTGCAACAAATGGATAGAGTACAACCTGTGCTGTTGATTGGTTCAGACTGTCCGCATCTCATCACACCTATTGAACCCGTCCTGCTAGGCCCACCAGGCGGACCTGCAGCAGTTAAGACCCGCCTAGGATGGACACTTCAAGGCCCCACGCATGAGATTAAACATGGACTAAATGTTCACCAGTGTGTTTTCACATCTGTTCCCCCCAACTCTGACCTGTTCGCTCATGTTGAGAGACTATGGCAGATGGATGTGGTTCCCTACCACAGTGAAAAGGTTGTAACACGATCCAAGCTGGATCAGGAAGCCATCCAACTGCTACAGGAGAAAACAACAAGAGTAAATGTTGACGGCATTATGCGTTATGCCACGCCACTCCTTCGGGCAAAGAACATGCCACACTTAACCATGCCCAAAGAAGCCGTTCTCCCTCAACTTAGGAGTGTGGAAAGGAAGCTGCTAAAGAACTCTGATCAGGCTTCAACCTACCAGGCTGAGATCGCTAAACTGAAGGAGGCTGGCTATGCAGTAAAGCTGGAGCTAAGTGAGGTTGAGAACTCCAAAGAGTCGTGGTACATTCCCCACCACATGGTGCAGCATAATAGCAAAAACAGGGTTGTTTATAACTGTTCCTTCGAGTACGAGGGTCAGAACCTAAACCAGTTCCTTCTTCCAGGACCCACGTTAAGCCCATCACTGCTGGCCGTGTTACTCCGCTTCTGTGAGCACTCCATAGCTGTAAGCAGGGACATCAAAGGTATGTTTCACCAGGTGAGGCTGCTCCCTGATGACATGCCCTTACTTCGATTCCTGTGGAGGGATTTGAAGCCAGAGCTACTTCCAGACGTGTATCAATGGCAGGTGCTTCCCTTCGGCACGACATGCAGCCCCTGTTGTGCCACCTACGCCCTACAAAGGCACGTCGTGGATCACAGCCTGCCTGGAGACAAAGTCCGAGAAGTCATTGAAAGGTCGTTTTATGTTGACAATTGTCTGCATAGCGTTACCTCCGACGAAGAAGCCAAAGACTTGGTTGATCAGCTCTGTTCACTTTTAGCTTCTGGTGGCTTTGAACTGCGGCAGTGGGCCAGCAATTGCCCATACGCAATTAATCACCTCCCCCCTGAATCTAGGTCAGATGCCTGTGATCTCTGGCTCCTTCAAGGTCAGCAAGATGTCTGTGAGTCTACACTTGGACTCCACTGGCACTGCCAGTCTGACACTCTCCGCTACAAACATAGAGGTAAACGCTGCTCCACCGTGACAATGCGCAACATCTACTGTGTACTGGCAAGCCAATATGACCCCCTTGGTTATATCATCCCTTATACTACCAGAGCCAAGATATTGGTGCAGCGTCTATGGGACAAGAGACGTGACTGGGATGACCCACAGTTACCTGAGGACCTCCTTACCTTGTGGTGTGAATGGGAGAAAGAGTTGAGTAGTCTAGATGAGATATCTCTGCCCAGATGTTATTTCAGCTTGAAGATGGATCACCCGTCCTGTAGACATGAGATGCACATCTTCTGTGACACATCAGAACAGGCATACGGCTCAGTGGCTTACCTGCGGACAGAGAGTAAAGAGGGACAAGTTGAAGTTGCCTTTATGGCTGCCAGGTCTAGAGTTGCCCCCCGCAAGCAGCAGTCCATACCCCGTCTGGAGCTATGTGCAGCTCTCAGTGGTTCTCAACTTTTCAAACTTCTAGTTACAGAACTTACAATCCCCATACACTCTGTTGCACTCTGGTCAGACTCCACCGCAGTGCTTACATGGTTGAAATCCAGCTCATGCCGCTACAAAGTGTTTGTAGGGACACGTGTAGAAGAGATTCAAGAGCTGACAGCATCTGCTTCCTGGCACTACGTCAAATCTGGAGACAACCCAGCGGACGATCTAACTCGAGGCAAGTTTCTCCGAGACCTCTCGAGAGGGAGTCGGTGGAGTCAGGGTCCACCATTCCTCAAGCTGCCACCAGATAGCTGGCCTGAACAACCTCCCTTATCTCTTGAGGAGCAAAGCCGTGAGTTACGACGGTCTGCGTTCTGTGGGTCAGTGACTGTTACCACGCCCTTGCCAAAGCCAGAGCAATACGACACTCTGTCAGCCTCTGTCAAGCCCAAGCTGAGTCCTTTCCTGCTGAGTTGAGTCTCCTGAGGTCAGGAAAACCAGTGTCAGGTAGAAGCAGATTGGCTTCACTCTCCCCCGAACTTGACTCTGCTATGGGACTGATTAGAGTAGGAGATCGTTTGCGTCACTGTGAGGTGCTGGAAGCTGATGCTTTACATCCAATTGTCCTTGACCCTCAGAATCCGGTAACTGCACCACCCTGGCTCGGAACGTTTGTTTGCCCGAAATAAGAAGGACATACTGGATATTAAGAGGCCGTGAAGCCATCCACCGATACCAGCGGCAGTGTGTGGAGTGCAGAAAATGGAGAAGTCATCCAGAAGTTCCCCTCATGGCCGACCTGCCTCTCACCAGACAGAGGTACTTCAAACCAGCCTTCTGTTCAACAGGCATGGACTGTTTTGGCCCCTTTGTTATCAAGATTGGCCGCCGCAACGAGAAGAGATGGGGTGTAGTGTTCAAGTGCATGACCATCAGGGCAATCCATCTTGACATTCTTCATAGTATTGACTCGGACTCGTTCTTAATGTCCCTGAGACGATTCATCGCACGCCGAGGAAAACCATACGAGTTGCTCTGTGACCAGGGCACTAACTTTAAAGGCGGAGAACGTGAACTGAGTGAGTCCTTTGCTGCCATGCAGAATGAACTACAAAGTCACCTCGCCGGCCAGCAAATCAAATTTGTCTACAACCCACCAGGTGCACCTCACTTCGGCAGTTGCTGGGAGAGGGAAATCTGCTCGATCAAAGCAGCCCTCAAAGTGACCATCGGGGCCCAGACAGTCACCGAGGAAGTACTGAGAACAATCTTGGCTGAAGTTGAAGGGGTTCTCAACTCGAAGCCACTTGGGTATACTTCCTCGGATGTAGCCGACCCCGACCCAATCACCCCGTTCTGCTTCCTGATTGGACGTCGAGATGCATCCTTACCTCAGGTAGTCTACCAAGATTCTGAGATCCTGAGTCGCCGACGCTGGCGCCACAGTCAACTGCTTGCAGATAATTTCTGGAGGCACTTCCTGAAGTATTACCTACCCAACCTCCAAGCCCGCCAGAAATGGGAAACCGACAAGAGGACACTAGAGATTGGTAATGTGGTCATGATCGTTGATCCCCAACTTCCAAATTGCAGCTGACCTTGCTAGCTAGCTAAACTATTGTAATAATGTCATTCCACTATTGCACAGTGTTGCCGCTTGGCAACACAAACATTTGAATGATTTACCAAAAACGAATTTTATAAAAACTTTTTTGAGAGGTGAATATGTCATCATAACATCATAACAGTGATGTTTTAGATTTTTTTGTAGAAGTGACACGGACTGGTCCTTGTTTGTTACTGACGTTTTAGTTTGCTTTCAGCAACTACCGACAAGAGACTGCAGTCTGTCAGAAATCTCGCCACAGAAAAAAACTGCATGTCATGTGACTTAATCAAAGCACATCATTGGCTAAACTAAGGTCTTCTCTTTCCAACAAAAAAAACGAGAATGTTCTCTTAAAGAGACAGTGGCAAGGAAATGAACACAAAGAGTATGTTGCCATATGGCTACACCATGCGGTAGAGGGTTAAAGGTAGGACTTATACACGAGTTGTGGCTCGACTCATCCTGCTCCCAGCCCTACCTGAGGATGATTTATGTTAGGATGCCGACCTTTTGTTAGATGAGCAAATTCAGTCCCTGAATTTGAGGGCGGCTGTACAAAAGGCCCGGATATTCTTGAATGTCCCGGATAATCCCGACCAATCAGAGTGCTCTATGCTACCACATCATCCCGTGCTTATGAAGAAGAAGTGAAAAGAAGCTGCGTCACTCGTGCGAGAGTGGAAAGTCCGCCAGCTTCGGTCTAATACGTATCCATCCAAGCTGGATTGCCATTAAGTTCTAGTTTATAACGAGTTACTGTGTGCATGCATGTGAAAGAAGTGAGTATTGACTATATATATTTCTGTTGTAATTGAGCAATCGTCTGTTTGTTCCGAGTCCATAAGAGTTGTTGATTAATACAGTCAGGATGTTGTTAATCTTTCTATTTAGTGTATATCTTAGTATTCCCATGTTATTGCTGTATGTACGCGCTATTCGGAGATGATTATCATGCGATGATCAGCCTTTTGTCACATGCTTGTGTTCGCTGGTGCACATTGGGCGGCATTCACATGCTGGTGGCGCCCTCTTGTGGACATTCGGAGAATTGGCACCCGGACCTGTTCGGAATACTTCATTAATGTCATTACTTATGTTCATTTGATTGCTGTTTAATTATTTAAAGTGGATGTTTATATTTGAGTAGCACATGTATGTATATATCAGTTAATTTATTTCTCTTGTTCAATTCTTGCAGAACCACACATGTATACTCCAAGTTCTTCAGTAAACTAAAAGGAACCTAGACATTGCTTGGTGCCTCTTCAATTAAGAGTCGTCTCATTCAGTCCTAACCGACTGCCTGCTGCGTTTCATACCCATCCAAATAGTGCATCTTCCGAACCCCCTACATTTCAGATGCAGTATATTAAAGTAAGCATGAAATAAAATTAATGTATTTTCTACATGCATGTTATAAGTCTTATTGTGAACTATCCATGTATGTGTTTCACTTTATCAATTATGACCTTGTAATTTTTAATCAAAATATCATAACCGGTCTTGTAATGAGACACTGGTGACGTATGCAGGACTTAAATCCAATTAACGACTAATGTTAAAAAAAAAAATACATATTTTACATTTTTCGATAAGCTGTTTCACTCGGATGTGCATCACAATACGGATGAACAGATCTGTCACTGATTCTGTCACAATTCTCTGCAATAGTTTATGTAAATAGCGTACATTAACTGTTTGTTTTGTCATTTTATACTTACATCCAAAAGGACCGCTAGGTACAGGACGCGGGTGCATTGCTAATTAAAATACAAAGAGAAAAGTGTTATTCACTGTGTACAGTGGCCAGCAAAACTCCATTCCTGAAGAACAGTCCATTGAGTTAATTTCTTCTGTTCAGTCCCTTGAGGTCTGGACAGCTGCTTTATAATGGAAATGAAAGTTGTTCTAACTGAAAAAGACATGGATACTGTTGTATTCATGCTGCTTGCTTTAAATCAATTACTGTATAAAGTGCTAAATAAATAAATTTGACTTGACTGGAGTGCAGAATTGCAGCGCTCAGGCAAACATATCAACATAGGTTTCTCACCACTGCGTTTTGTTGTTTGATTTATTTTGTTATGGATAGGAAAGCATGCAGAACAAATTTTACATATTCATCATTAGGCTACATATTCATTCCAGCAGTGTAGGCAGCATCGGGAAGTTCGCTAACGGTAAACCGCTGCTTGTGTATTTCTAACGTCTTTTTAGCCCTATAAGCAAAGAATGCAAAATAACTTTGCCATGTGTGTGTCAGGGCCTTAACTTGTAGGATGCACAAATGAAGTAGCTTCTTTTAATCATCTTTTATTTATTAGATGTATTTGGTAGACATGGATGGTTAATACATTTGTTTAGAACTCTTCATATTGCTGCTGTTTATTTAGCTTTATAAAATGGATCTTGCACAAGGTTTGTACACTTTCATTAATAATGCTAGTGCAACTTTTCAGTTCTCACCTGGAGGTCTGGGTGGCGCTTCTCCCTCTTTGGGTTTGTCGGCAACTTCCACTTCACCCTCCTGTGGCTTGGTAACAACCATAGAGGTGAGGGGAGTGACAAACTGGTATTTCAGGGAGAGTTTAAGAGCTTCCTTCTTTTCATCCTCTTTCTCTTGTCCTTTAAGAAGCACCCTGAGACAGAAAGATGTCCTCAATGTTCATCTTAAATCGCAGAATGTCATATCACTCATAAACTTACTGTCTCTCCAGAAGCTGCTTCACTGTAAGGTAGGCCCACAGTCTCTGCATGAAATCTTCATTCTCAGGAGGGACATCACTGGGGTCTTTTGTCATTATAGTGTCCTGATACGTCACTTTACTGCCTTTCTGCTCAGAAATAATAACACTAGTGAATATTTTTATCAGGAATGCTGTCAGTACCACTTTCACCCATAACCCACTATAAAAACAAACCTATTATTCCCAACTTCTACACAATCGACCAATGATCCTAATAATATGCCACTAAAGAGAAGATTAGTGAAGATCTTACTGATACTGCGATGACTTCAGTGGTGAAACTCTCCACACTGTTGTCTGTGATTTGTCCTGACACCACAATCTCAGAGCCATTGAAGTACAAGCTAAAGCTGGTCTTGGTAAGGTTTGTCCCTCCTGGGTATTTAAGTTGAATATCAGTGAGGAGAGGGACCGCAACTTCATCATAGAAGCCCTAAAAATCAAACAGACTTTAAATGCGCTCAAACAAAGTTCAGCATTGAGGATGAATTCACAGCTGATTGTCTGTAGGTCACATGCAGCTGTAGATCAGCGTCCGAATCTTCATAAATCCTGCGAGCAACTCCACCATTTTCCAGTGACATCTTTGTCAGGAAGTCGAAGTTTACATCATATCCAAAGCCAAGACAATAGAGGGGAAACTTTGTCCCAATGGCCTCTTTCACATTGGCCATTATCTTCTCTATGTTGGTTTCACCTGTATGACAATGCATTCATACATACTGTAGCAATCACAAAGTGAGAAACAATATATCACATATTCAAAAAAGTGCAAAAACACAAGATGTGCTGATTGACAATATTAATGTTTAAAGCAGTTCTGATGCCGATTTTCCTTTAAACAGCTAAATGTGGGCAGTGGGTGTTTGTATGTATCAGTGTTTCTGTGCCTGTAGTGGGATCTCCATCAGTCAGCAGGATCAGGATGGAGGCTGTTCCCTCTCGTGGATGTCGACTGATCATGTCCACTCCTGCTAGAACTGCAGCATTTATGTCAGTGGCTGAAGGAAGACCAAACATAGTTGTGTCACTGTGAGGTTCAACTTTCTTACTCCTTATGTAGCATTAGTGCTGTAACTCACCTCCTCTATCGCTGATCTCCTTCACGAAAGATCTCGCATTCTCCAGGTTTGTCTCAGTAGCTTTGAGGAGTTCACGTTTCCATAAGCTAACTTCACTGTCAAATGTGATCAATCCAAAGTGGTCGTCCTCATCAAGATCACTCAAAATCCTTAGCAGTGCCAAACGAGTCTAAAGAATGTCAGCACATCTGGAATTTACACATCTTTCTCCATTATGATTGCATATTCACATTTACCAGAGATGGACAGCTTTGTTTTTTTTTTTTTTGTTTGTTTTACTAATTTAAGGAAAGCAACTTCACATTGATTTCAATACAGAAATCCCTGTCCTTTTACCATGATAATGCAAAATGCTGTGAGATCCTCCAAGAATGGTTTACCATCAAAACATTTAATTGCTCATTATTTGCTTTTGATTTGGCTGAAACGTTGAGATTAACCTGGTCTATTTTTCTGCCGTGCATAGAGCCACTCCGGTCAATGATAAACACCACATTTTTGGGAATACGTGGAACATCAGAGGGTGCAAAGTAGTGGACAAAATAGCCATTTGATACCTGAGAGAACAGAGAAGTACATATGAATATCACCGATGCCTTTTTACATGGCCAAGGTCATGATTTTTACCAAAATCGTAACATATTTTACTCTTTTAAAGCATGTTATTGAAAATGTACCATGACTTCTCCTTTGGGATTTCGTCTCTCAACATCGTATGTTACAAGCAGGTCTCCATTCAACCCATTTTCTCCACAGCTTTTACACTTGGTCTGTTGATCTTGTGTGGGGTAGAAGGTCACCCATGCCTGAAATAATCAGTTTGGTCGGTCATCTGGTATCTTTATTTGAAGTGTATGAGCATATTGAGAGCATCTAAACTGTGTTTTAACCCTCATTTAAGCTCTTACGTCTTTGTCTGCTCTGGTGGTTTTGATGGCATTGGCCAGATCCCCGGTGCTCAAATCTCCTTTCACCTCCAAGAAGGAAATTCCTGGTTTCTCTTGGATGTGCACATCCATCTGATGCAAGTAAAAGAAACATCATCTAACTATCCATTTTTATTGCTTATTAATTTCCTCTTAATTTATTGCATTACCTTGAAGTCAGCCACCGGCTGCATCGGTTGGGCATTGATGAGTAGCTCATATTTGCCGAGGCGGCGCTTTAGCAGTTCCTCGTAGGTCAACTCAAAGGTCACTTTACTAAAAGCAGCCACCGTCACTGAAGTTTTAAAGTCCTCTAAAGTCCTTCCAACAGATCTGAAATAGAAAAAAATCCCAGCATATTACTAAACATGCTATATATACATAGTTTTATGGACCTAATTTTAATAAATTCCAGTACTTGACCAGTCCAGCACTTTGTCCTCGAGATACTGCTTGATTGTATTGCTGCTGAGCTTCTTCTTTTTCCTTCACAACCCCATCATATGTTTTTCCCTCTATGGTCCTATGGAGAAAATGACACAATGATATTCTCTTAACATACCAGAAACTTACATTGTGTATCTATCTCAGACATATTGCATAAAATAATTTTCCATCACACACAAATGGTAGCACCACTTAATATGTTTGTTTGTATTAAAGCATTTGTACTGTTAGCTACTATTTCTTGTGCTTAAAAAGTACAAACAGGTTATTTATTCTTGGAAGAAGATAGAATTTATAAAAAATGAAAAAAAAACTTTTTTTTCTTGTTCGGCTGCACCAGATGGACCTGATCTGACGGCCAAATACTATAAATGGCTTCTTTACCTCTTTATTTCTACTTATATAACACTACTCTTGTTCACCCACATTCTGAATTTGCTGATGAAGGCATTCTTGGGAATCTTGACCTCAAACTGGATCTCTTGAGATTCATTCAGTATGTTCGCAACACGGCTTGTGATGACTGTTGTAGCGTAGCGACTGGTGACCGTGGAGTTAATGTAGAAGCTGTATATATCCACATTTTGTTTCTGTTGAGACAATGAATAGTAAACTCATATTAAAGTATGGTCAAAGTGATTGGCTTGTGCATGTTAACTCCTCCAGTTTGTTTAGAATTGCTCAAATATTTACTGCTCGAAAATGGGTTGGAGAAAGGGCCTTTGGACTAAAAAACAAATACGTTTTGATGACTGTATCTCAGTGTACACAATTGAGCAATAGTGAGAAAGATAGTTCTGTGAACTTGCATTTTTCTGTCAACAATGGCATTAAAGACAATCAAAATGAAAATACTGTTGAATATCTCAACAGAGAAACCATGCAGTTGAGAACAAATGGTTAGTTTTGTACATTGTGTTGTGGTTTTAGCAAGAAAAAACCTAAGAGAGATAGATTACTGTACACGACAAACTATATCATGTTAAATCAAAATACATGATACATTACTGTTTAAAAGTTTGGGGTTCCTATGATTTTTTGTGTTTTTGAAAGAAGTCTATGCTCACCAAGGCTGCATTTATTTGACAAAAATACAATACAAACAGTAATTTTGTGAAATATTATTGCAACATTATTGCAGTTTACGTTTTTTTTTTTTCCTGTGATGCAAAGCTGAATTTTCAGCATCATCTCATATGTTGATTTGCTGCTCAAGAAACATTGTGCATTAATTAATGTTGCAAACAGTTGTGCTGCTTCATATTTTTGTGGAAACATGATACATTTTGTTGTATGTACTTTGATGAATAGAAAGTTCAAATGAACAGCATTTATTTGACTTAGAAATATGTTGTAACATCCAAATTACATTTATGGGCACTTTTGATCAGTTTAATTCATAAAAGTATATAAAAAATAATAATTTTACTGACCTCAACATTTTTTGAACAGTAGCATATATTCAACATGTATGATGTAGATCTAGCTTGTCTTAATCTTAAATACATATATTAAATCTGTTGTTTTATACTGGTAGAGTATTTTGACTCAGTCTTCTTCATCTTGAACTAATATTTGACCCTCACCTTCTTAACAGGATCAGAAGTGGCTGAGATGAGAAAGACGCCCAAGAGAATCAGCTGGAGAGCTGCTCGATCCATCATGACCTGCACAGGAAACTGACCTCCAAATGCACACTGCCTTTAAACTCAAGTCCACATCATGCTATTGGCTATTATTGAACGGATACAGAAACCTCCCCCTTTATTTGCAATCAGAGTCTCTTGAACCCCACATAAGTCAATAACAAGGCATGCTTTTATAGAAAATATATTGTCTAATTTGTAAATGCATTCTGTAGAAACTTGGTGTTAAGCTTTTATTTATATTATCAGGCAGGACCACAAAAAATAAGCATATTTTCCAGGAATAAGCACAATTAATACTTAAAGAGACACCAATCGAAAAAAATTTTGTTATGCAATTTTAATTGCTATTTTATCACACAGTTTGCCAGCTAAAGCCCATGCATTTGTGTGGGCAAAGAAGAACACATTCAAAGACATAGTGCAACAAACGTGGTAATCAAAGCATGCTAAAGAAGAAAATAACTTGGGTCATGCCAATAGACAACAATTTCACAGCTATTTGACCAACAATGCCCATTTAAAGAATATGTTATATTATTGAAAAGGGCAGCTTGATAATGGACAATAAAAATGATTTTTTTTATTTATTGAACTCTACAGCTGAGTGACCGTGAAGTCAGCGAGCTCTCGCTGCGCAACAGCCTGGAATGGTACAAGCCAACATCCAACCACAGGAGCAGAAGCAAGTCTGTAGTCCTTCACCATCACCCTGAAATAACAACATACACTTAAAAATGCCAAGATGCAGTTTTATGGAAATTCAGCTATATGTACACTACTAGTCAAAAGTTTGGAATAATTAAGATTTTAATAATTAAGCACCAAATCAGCATATTAGAATGATTTCTGAACGATCATGTGACACTGAAGACTTGAGTAATGATGCTGAAAATTCAGCTATGCATCACAGGAATAAATGACATTTTAAATATATTAAATATTAATAAAATAGAAAACAGTTTATTTTAAATTGTAATAATTTTTCACAATATTATTGTTTTTACTGTATTTTTGGTCACATAAATGCAGCCTTGGTGGGCATAGGAAACTTCTTTAAAAAATGTAAAAAAAAAAAATTAAAAAAAAAATTGTGTACATTCCTTGATCACTTACCAAGATGTCTTCACTTCTTGGTCCTTTAACTTCAAAGTTGGGGTTTGTGATCCTGGGAGCTCCTCATATGAAATATCAGCCTCTCCTTAAATATTATCCACAGACATTGTAATTTTTTCCCAGTGTTGGTTTATTAACCACAATATCATCACTGACAGACCATCTTCGGTATCAGTAGAGATTAAGTATTGTGTTGATATAGTGTGACTGATTAGTGACTCTCTCACCTAAAATACCCATCAAACTGACATCTTTTGGTTGTTGCCAAATGGCAGGCCACAGAAAAACGTCACCGTCTTTTTTATGAAGAAGAATAACAACGCGGATGTTTCCCATGGTAACGTCCATTTCATTGCTCCGTAGAATCAGAGAGACACTGATGAAACAGAATTAAGGGCCGTTCACACCAGGAACTATAACTATCAATTCTACCTCAATATCACAAAATGACTTTGTAAAAATGAGAGAAATTTATATTTTTTCAAATTAATACATTTTTTGATTTGACAAATTCTCTAAATGTATGAAAATGTAAACAAACAATTCATTTATGACATTTTTTTACTGTTTAAGCATATTACTTTTCTCTCTCATGGTGGGTGAGGTCTTGCTCCCATGAAAACTTAACAGTTTTCTGCCCATCATTGTAGATAATTTCAGTAGCGCTGAGCAGAAGGTGGTGATTAGTTTTGTAATGAATTGCAATTTGACTGAAGCCTTTTCCTCCAAATGACTCAAGTTGCCCATTCATAGAGAAATCTGATTAAAGAGTATAAACAAACATTACAGTGAGATTTTGCTTAAATTAACAAATGAAAGCAATGGATTATTACTGAGTTGTTAAAACAAACTGTAATAGAAAGTGCCAGATATCTGACCTGATGGGACATTCTGTTGGAGTCTGACTTTCTGCGCAAGAGGAACATCATAACAAAGTGGATGAGCATTACCAGAAGATTTCAAGATCCTAATGCTCCTCGCTGAAGGACCAAAAAGGGAATGAAGGACCGAAAATAGGGAAATATGATGTCAGATGAAACTATACAAGACACTGCACCATATAAAATGAATACACACGAGGTCCACATACATGGAGGAGAGGTTGTCAGAGGTTTCTGAGTTGGACTTTCTATTCGTACGGCTAAAAAAAAAAAAAAAAGGTAAGGGTATAAATCTGGCATAAGGAAATAAGATAATGAAAAATCAGTTGACATAATAAAATGAATAAATACACAGCAAACATATCAATGTAGTAGGTTAATTGTGAAAAAGTGAAAGTGATGTGACGTGTAGCCAAGTATGGTGTCCAATACTCGAAATTTGTGCTCTGCATTTATCCCATCCAAGTGCACACACACAGCAGTTAGTAGTGAACACACACACACACACACACACCCGGAGCGATGTGAAGTTGTACCATCATCACTGAAGTTATTAAAAACTGAACTCTTAAAAAACAAAACAGTAAACCAGCTATAATCATTTATTTAATTCTCATTAACATATTAGAATACACACACCTACACCTTTCATGTTAAGATGCCGTAGAGAGGGTCTTTGTCTCACTAGGATCTGGGAGTCTATGATAAAAGTAAAAAGAATTAGAAATAAGTCTGACTGAGTAGGGATTTACATTAATTGAAGTAACAGAAAAGGAAGTGATGTACAGTACTGTATGGCCCTACACCACTGGTAGCAAGAAGCGCATGACCTGCAGTGTGGAAAAGTTACATTAGACACAAATTACTTTCCAACAAATGAAAGCATAGCTTGGCTAATTATAAAAGCATATTTTGTGTTGCTTTCAATAAATTTCCATTTTTATATATTTTCAAAAGAAGTCTTTCTGCTCACCAAGGCTGCATTATTCGATTGGAAATACAGTAAAAACAGTAATACTGTGAAATATGAAATATTGCTATAGTTTAAAATAACAATTTTCTGTTGTGATATATTTTAAAATGTAATTTACTCAATTTGCTCACTTTCATGTGTCCTCGCTGAATATTAATTTATTTTAAATAAAAAAACTTGCTGACCCTAAACTTTTAAAGTTACATAGCAAGTGATTTGTGTGGCAAATACATCTTACATAAATGTACAATTTGAACAAAATAAGTTTGTTTGTTCTTTTTGTTGTTGTTGTTTTTTAAAGTGAAAAGCTGTGGACCTGGAGACATTACGTGTTTGGACAAGGCCTTTTGTCTTCTTGCTAGACAGGAGAAATAATGCTCATTAGCAAAATATAATGGCATAAAGATTATTCTGATTTAAAAAAAATAAATAAATAAAAAAAAAATATATATATATATATATATATCCAACAGCTCTTTTTCTTTATTTCATCTTACATATTTTAGTACTTCCTGATGAATGCCTATTTGGTTTTTCTCCCTCTTTGGGTTTGTGGGCAACCTGTATTTCCTCATCCTGGGGCTTGGTGACCACCATCGATGTAAGCGGTGTGACAAATTTGTACTCCAGAGAAAGATCAAGGGCTTCTTTCTTTGCGTTTTCTTTTTCCACGTCTTTTAGAAGCACCCTGAGGTACAGAAGAAAAAAAATCAACATGAAAATTCTGTAATACTACTACGTATGACATACATAGAGTTGAATCAGTTAACTTAAAAGTATGAATATTTACATTTTCTCCAATAGTTGCTTCACTGTAAGAAAGGCCCATAATCTTTTAATGAAGTTCTCGTGTTCAGGTCTGTCACTACTGAGGTCCCCTGTAAGTACACTGCTATGATATACCACCTTAGTGCTTTTCTGGAACAAAGAAAATAATGGTCAGAAGCTCAAACCTTGCTGGCCTAGTGGGTCAAGCAACTCTAGAGATTTAAAAAAAGAATAATGCACCCCAAAAAAATTACAATTCCTGTCATTATTTACTGACCATTAAGTCATTCCAAACCTGTATGTTTTTTTTTTCCACTGAACACAAAAAGAGAATTTCGAAGAATATTCACGTCATGAATAACAACCTAAACAAAAGCTATCTTATAAGAGCTTACGAGCTGGAATGACATAAGGGTGTGTAAATAACTACAGAATTTTTGGATGAACTATTCCCTTTAAATGTTAGTCTATAAGGGGTAGTGGTGATCTTACCGATAATGCAATGACCTCAGTGGTGAAACTTTCCAAACTGTTATCAGTGATCTGACCAGCTACCACAATCTCAGAACCATTGTAGTACTGGTTGAAAGTGGATTGGGTTAAATTGGCCACCCCTTGGTAGTTAAGGTGGACATCAGTCAAGAGCGGGATGGCCACTTCCTCGTAGAAGCCCTAATAAAATTGTGCAAATACAAGGACGTATACAATAATAATTTAACACATGTATATGTTTAGTTCTGGGAACAGCACATGGCACACTGGAAAATGACCCAAGCCTGACTCAAACCCGGGTCACTATCCCCGAAAGATTTCTTTGTTTATATTTGACCTGCAGCTGTAGATCAGCATCAGAATCCTCATAGATTCTGCGACCAACACCGTTATTTTCCAACGACAACTTCTTCAGGAACTCAAAGCTGACATCAAACCCAAATCCCAAACTGTACAAAGGGAATTTTTCACCAATCGCCTTTTTCACATTTTCCTGAATCTTCAATGGGTTAGTCTCACCTTTTTGCGGGAAAAAAAGAAACAATCAAGAGGTATTTTATGCATGGCAATGGAGAAAAATGGGACGTTTTACAGCTAAAATGTATACTCCATAATATTTTAGTGTAGTGGGTCATACATACATTTTTTTCTGTTTTGTAAACAGTACATATACAGTCATGGCCAAAAGTATTTGCAGTGACAAATTTAGTGTTTCGCAAAGTATTTGCTTCAGTATATGTAGATAATTTTTTCACGTGTTTCTATGGTATACTGGAAAACAGTGATAAGCATTTCATAATTTTTAAAGGCTTTTATTGGCAAAAGCATTCAATATATGCAAAG